CAATCAAGGAAGAACGCAGCCTCAGCAGGGAGTGAGTCAATCACACGTGCTTTTATCTCTTCAGTGAGTTCATGATTCCTTACAGGTTTCTTTCAAGGCAGACATGCAGTCAGTGCTCTCCACCAAGCAGCTTCATTCCACTGTGTGTGGTTTTCTCCCTGAGATTTGATAGAACAATGAGCAAGGGAGTGTGTGTTTGTTTGCTTGTTTGTGTGGGGGCATAGTAAAGATATGAATGGGGTAGGGGCAGAAATCTGGCCTGATGCAAAAAGATCTCCTGCTCAAAACTTTTCAGAGTCCCTGATTAAGAAGTGAAAGAGTGATATTCCAGAGAGATGTGCCACCAGGAGACGAGAACAGGCAACAGGCAGTTAAAATAGTGAGGCCCGAGTTCTAACCATGCTTCTGCCACTTAGCTTGATGACGGCAGATGTTCACCTTCCATGAGCTTCTGTTGTCTTCCCAGTCAAATGGGCGTTAAGAATAGTCTCCTGGCCTCATGGGAGTGTAATGAGAACAAGACGAAACTACAAAGCATTCAGCACGGCACCCTCAGGTGCTGCACCTGCAGAGCAGGTGGTTGATAAACAGCACCCAAAATTTGACTACATAGATAGGAAAGGAAAGTAGAAGAAATGATTTCAGTACACCTGATTAACAGGAATGGTCAAAGAATCTATCCAGTAGGCTGACTTCTCTAAATCAAAGAATGCTGGCCAGAGAAGAAAACAAAAACTATACGCACTGCCAGTGGGGGCAGACACAGCCCAGCCTCAGGCTCCAAGGTACTGAACTGAGAAGAACCGCACGCAACCACACGAGGCTGGGTTCCCAGAGGCTGTGAAAGACGGCTCCAGGTCTGACCTGTTGTCGATTTAGGATTTATCTTCCCCCTAATTCCCAAAAGGATCAGAGGCAGATTCCAGTAAGAGTCAACATACTCAGTAGACTCATTTAAATAAGAATAAAAGAATCAGAGAAATATAATGAAGGCGAGGTACTAGCTGAGATCTGCTGCAACTGCAAATAAAACTTAGCGGTGGGCAGCCAGAGTTAAGACCAGAAAACTTGCAGACGGATCATTAGGCAGAGGAAGGAAGAGTCAAGATCATCAGGAAGGGCACATTTTCCTAGAACTAAACTTGAAATTTTGTAATCAGAAACTGATCCTAGGGATGTATGCCTCCTCCACTGGGTTCCTCCTCCATGAGGTTCAATCTCACCTCCCAATCACCTCATGTAAGCTTGGTGTACTATTTTCCTCCTCACAGCTTTGCCAACTACCAGCTATCTGACCCGGAACCGATGCCTCACTTCTCTGAATCTGTTTCCTCGTCCTTAAAAGGGAATTATGTTCTGACCTACCTACGGAAGGGAGTAGAGGAACATTTGCTAGCATTCATTCACTGGGTGCCGGCCAAACAGCAAAACCTTTGTGTACGTTACCTCACTGAAATCTCCCAGTAACCACACGCAAGCCCTGTAAATAGTTTACAAGTAATCTCCCAGAGATTCAGAGAGGTGGGGACAGGTGCCATTGTCACACAGCTACAAAAGTGGATGAACTCAACTGCATGCTTCTGTGATACCAAGGCAGACTTTAACCCTATACTCTCCCACTTTCTCCAGCTATGTCAAGCACCTAACAGGCCCTGGGACATAGTAGGTACTCAATATATTAGCTTCCTTCCTCATTTCTTCCCTTCTCAACTAGAATTATATATATCTAGAAAATTAAGTTTACTGAAATAATATCAGTATCTTATATTTACATAGTTTCTTTCCTCTAAGGAGATCATACGACCTAATCTATTTTCTCTACTAATCCCACCAAATCTCTACCTAACATTATGTATTATTTCACTTATTTTCCAAGTAAGGAACTAGCAGGCAGCAAGCTGCTAGGGTGACGTGCCCACAGTCATGTGGAAGTCACTGCCAAAACCAAATAAAAACCTTGGTCCTCTTTACGTCTAAATCAACCTTTATCCTCTCATGTGACACAGGCTCCATAATGAAGAACAGATCATTCATTTTTTATCTGGAAAACTACCAAACGTATAATTCAGTAAGGGGCCTCATGACCTTACCACCTTGTCAAAGGGAAGTAAGTGTATAAAAAATGAGGTTTGCAGGAGCAGACGGTTTTGGTCCGTCAACTTTCTCTTAGATTACTCCCATTAACCAACATAAAATAATGTAAAATATAATGTAACAGATCCCCAAGTCTTTGGAAATTTAAGTAAAACTCACTGATCCTTCAAACTTACATACAATACACAAGGGCAACCGTTAACTCCTGAGGGGCTGCAGAGGTACACATTATGTAAACTAGGTCTTTGAAAGAAGAACATGATACACAACCAGGCCACTCTAAGGAGAATCTAAGTGAGCAATGAGCATTCAGCAGCAGAAATTCACAGTATCACAGAAATTTAAAGTTCAGAGGGACCTGGCAGGCCACTGAGAACAATCTCTTCATCTGGTATATGAGGAAACTGAGGCTTATGGAGGTTAAGTGACTTTTCCAAGATTTTGCACACAAAAGAACAAGAACTAAAAAATAGAGGCACCTGGGTGGCTCAGTCGGTTAAGCGTCCGACTTCAGCTCAGGTCATGATCTCGTGGTTTGTGGGTTCAAGCCCCATGTGGGGCTCTGTGCCCAGAGCCCAGACCCTGGAGCCTTAGATTCTGTGTCTCCCTCTCTCTCTGCCCCTCCCCTGCTTGCACTCTGTCTCTTTTTCGGTCTCAAAAATAAATAAACATTAAAAAAAATTTTTAAAAGAACTAAAAAATAAACCTGCTGACTATTATCTATTCCACCTGCAAGTCTTACTTACATCTGCTGTCCGTGAGTACACATAGCACTTTCCAGAATAACCCACCTATAAAGACAGTGCAGGATAAAGAGCACGTACTGTAGTAACAGAGAAATAGGATTCGAATCCTGACTGCCACTTACTGACCATATGATCTTGGCGAGTCCCTTAATTTCTTTGAATTTCAATTTTTCATCCATAAACTGTGGGTAATAGTATATTCCATGGATAAGCTGCAGATGATATAAAGAAGGGGCCTGGCCACAGCCTGTGAGCTCCATGAAGACAAACATCAGGTTTGTACATCCCTAGCCTCCAGCACAGAGCCTTTACATTTGTAAAAACTGGCTGAGCAAAATTAATGAACTAACCAAGCAAACAGGTTCTGGACTTGAACCCAGGTCTACTTGGTTCTTAAACACTAGGTTATATTGCTCCCAATTCACATGATTTCAAAGCACAGTGTTAATTCTGACTTACAGAATACGAGCACACAATGAAATAAAACAGCCATTTTCTGGTCCTAAAGCAGAAAAAAAGTTCAGTGGGGAAAGTTCCTGGACTCTCAGTGTCGGGATTGGTTCTTATTGCTAGTGTGCGCACATCATGAGGCTTTAGAATCAATTAAGGCTAGGCTTGGGTCCCAGCTTTAGCATAAGCTGAGTGATCTCAGACATATTACTTTACCTCTCTGAGCCTAAGTTTCCATACCAGGAATAAACGTACTTCACAGGACTGTGTGAGAAGTGAGGCAATATATGTGAAGAAATACAACGTGATGTGTGGCACAAAAAGACTCTATTTCCCTTCTAGGTACTTGGAGGCTTCATTCATTCACTTCACCTAGGTTTCTGCTCAAACGTCACTTCCTTCTGAACCTTCCTATCTACAATAAAAACCTCAATCCTCTATCCCCTTACCCTGCTATTCTTTTTCATAGTCCTCATCCTCACTTGATATTACATCATGGGTTTGTCAGCCTTTCTGTTTACTGTACCTACTCGACTATAAGGTAAGCCCAGGACAGCAGCTTTTTCTTGTTTATTTTGTTTACTGCTGTATCTCAACCACCAGGAAAGTGCCTGACATGCAGTTAGTGTTTAATAAATATCTGTTGAATGACTAAATGAATTAATTCAACACTCCCTTGGGACCTGCTGTCCAAGAGGCATCACGTAGGAAGAAGGACTTACAGATAAGTAAGAAATGAGATTATAGGAGAAACTACCGTGCCTGCTCTGGAATCTGCAAAGATTTCGAACTCACCTGGACTCTCACAGTTGCCTCCTGACTATTCTTTGTGTCTACTCTGCCCCCCTATATTCCATTTGTTAATCAGCAGCCAAAAAGCCCCCCAAAAAGTCAACATTGGATCAGATTTCTCTGCCTAAGCCCCTCTAGTGGCTTCCCATTCCAATTAGAGTAAAGCCCAAACTCCTTACCATGGCCTGAAAAGCCTACCTTCCATTCCCTCTCCCTCCCTCCTTGACTTTCAGGCACACTGGCTTTCTGCCTCTCAAATATGCCAAAGTCTTGTGATTTCTTTTTTAATTTAAAAATAAACATACATTTTTGTTCATTCAAAACTCTAAGTTCTATTTATATAATTAACAATATTCTGTTCTAATGCCTAAATTTTTCAACAAGCAAGGACTAATGTAAAAAATAGCTCTTCAACGGACACGAGTGTCGAGGTCTTTTGTGCTGGCTGCTCAGTCTGCCTGGAAAGCCCCTCCCCCAGGCTGGCTCTTCCTCCCCATTCGGTTCAGCAAAAACGTTACCTCCTTAAGGAGCTCTCCCAGGCTAAGTTGTCCCTCTACCATCACCTTCATCAAGTCGCTCTATGGGGTCCCACCGCCATTACTTTCCCCACAGCATTTCACTATCTGGGATGACTTTACTATTTATGTGTCCCACCTTCCCAGCCTGGAATGTTCCCAGCCTGGAACGGAGACAAGGACTTTGCCAGGTTCACTGATGCATCTTCGGCCCCTAGCATGTAGTAGGCATGCAGTGAATATTTCTGAATCGGTAAACTGGATCCCAAAGGATGCTGGAGTTTGCCAGGGTAAGAGTACAGGTGAAATACGCTACGGGCCTAACAGTGTCTTGGCCTGTTGGTTTCCTTCCGAGGACAACTGCCCCACTGCATCAGAAGATGTGAATTTTAACCAAACTTACTTGGGAATGGGCACCCGAATTAGCGTCCCTTCCACTTCTGGGTTCAGATTCATTCCACTTTCTCTTATAGCCTTGATAGCTGCAGCTGTACACTGAAAACCAGATCAAAAGGTAAACAGAATTAGTAAATAATTATTACCAGATGCAAGCCCTCTGTCGATAACTGGCAACCCATCTTGGCAGAACATGGAAACATTTAGTTCTGTTACCAGTAAGATCAGGAAGTTACATTGGTGTAGAGTGCTTTGATCAAGCTGAATAGCAAACTACGTCCACTCCTGGTACCAGTGTACTGCGGGAGGGAAGAAAAGCAAAGAGGAGGAAAAAATAAAAAGAAAACAGCTCTGCTTCTTTGAAAAGATTTCAACGGTTTGAGGCAACACAGATCAAAACCACAATAAATCCTCAAGGGAGGGGGGCTGGTCTGTACAAAGATTGGTGTAAGGACAGATGAAAGATTTTATACATTAAAAATTCCAGTTGACATTTTACACTCAAAATATACCAGTGCCGATGTGGAATGAGTAAATACATTTAACTCCTTCGCATCTACACTCACACCGACCTCACTCGTGTTTTGGCTTGAGCAGTGAGTCTCTGCTGGTCTGTGCTCCAGGAAAGGCAGTATGGTACACCAGTCAAAAGCCTGGGCTTTGGAGTCAGAAAGATCTCAGCCCAAATCCTTGCTCTGCTAACCATGTGACCCTGGGCAACAATCTCGACCTGAGGTCTCCATGTTGTAATCTGAGAGCACACGGTACCTGTATCTCCCGGAGGATTAAATGAGGTAACACGAACGATGCATCTTGTTCTGTGCCTGGCACACAGTAACACCCAGGCAAGGGGCGTTATCATCTAAACTTATTCTATAAAGGTAAGAATGCGCAAATCCTGCAAACAAGGCTGAGCTGATGTCATCAGTCAGCTGACGCACTGTTGTCCCGTGTGACATCCTTCAGGGTCTTCTCTGATACGGCCTTGCTCTCTACTGTGCCAGGCAGCACAAGGTATATGGATTTCCCAACGTGCTTCACTTCACCTCAAGCAATGTAACTATACCTGCTATGAAATCCTAAAGAACAAGATAAAGCAGTGTGGATGGAAGACACTTTCATTGGCATGGCAATGTGGAATTCAAGAAAAGAAGGCCTCCGACATTTTCAAAGACGTTTAGGTTTGGCCACAGCTGGTGTACTTCATTTGGATTCACAGGGACAATTCTTGGCCCTGAGTTCCTCCCTAGACTTTGTGGTTTAATGAATAGGGTTTGTTGCACTCCTGTTTTGTTTTGGTTTTTGAGGGAGCGCCTAAAAAGCTTATCCATTTCATCTTGACATGACCTTAATTCTACAAGGACCTAAGGTACTGCCATAAGGTCAAAAAAGACAAACTGCAAGTCCACCTGCAGAAGAATCATCCCTTTGGGAGGCTGTCACAGAATGGAACACAGTGTGACCATTGCTTCAAACAGTAAATTCTCCAAACGGTACTCTTGACCACCACAGACTGTTGGAGCTAGCGGGGATCTCTGACATAATGTAGTTCAGTCCCTTCCTATGTACACAGGGACCCTACACACATATCCGGTCTTCCCTGAGAGTCAAGGGCGGTGGAATGAGGATCTTGACCACCATACTTCTGGTTACCGGCAGAGTCGGGAGGAGATCTCAGGTGCCTCAACCCTCCATCCAGTGACGTTACCTTGTATTTCCTTCCAATGTAGTCAGTAATCATAGCATGTGGAATTTAATTTTTTTTAACTAGACAAAAATTATGTGGAATTGGTCTGGTATATAAAGGGAATGGTGAAGGTAAGTAAAAGAGATGGACAGAGAAATGAAATTTTCCTCCGCCAAGAGGGCTGCCATTTTCCTTAATAAAATGAATCATTTCTAAAGTTAGCAATAAAGGGAGAACCTCTACTTTGAAGTGGCCTGATCTCAAGTCTCTAAATCCTCCTCTCCTGAAGCTTCTGAATGACAGAGAACTCAACTGTAGCATCTCACCGCCACCAACTCCCTTCACTGTCTGCCCCAGTCTTTGCAGACAACTTTCCCCCAGAGGCATGGGAACACCCACTGCGGCTTCCAAGCTGGGCAGAACTATCCCTCAATATGTATGTCCTTCCAGTAGAATTACAGTGCTGGGTACATGGAAAGTGCTCAGTAAATGCATGTTGAATGAGTGGATTAATGAACTGGCTTCTAGGTCAGTTCTTCTAAAATATTCTAAACATGTATATTTTCATTTGATATCGTAGGATACAGAAACTCAGGGAATTACAGTTATTTTCCCAAAACGACATCTGAAACTCATTGTTCAGACAAAAAGGCACATATTTCTATTGCATTTCCATCTCAGGCTGTATCCCCTTACTGAAGGGATGCTAATAAGCACCTCAGGACAAACAGGCTATTCTCAAACAGCAACACTGACCAACTAGTTGGAGCCGTTTGGAGTACTGTGTCAAGAAAGCTCATAGACTCCATCTAGGGTCAGGCAAGAAAGAGTGCCATAACCAATCAGCAATGTCTGCTATTGTGATTCTTAAGCTAATCTATGTTAAAGGATAAAAATGACAAAATTTCCTTGGACAGGTGAACAAGCACTTTGACAATCTGGGTTCAAGTCAACTTTGCTGGGGCCATTTTAATTAGTGGCCCTGCATTTTCTTTATATCCCAATGAGTCCCTAGAATGTAAGGTCTATGAAGGCAGGAACCCTGTCTGTCTTAATCATCGACAAATTCCCAACACCTCAAAGAGAACCTAATAACTCACAGAAACTCAATAAATATTTGTGGGGGGTTTTATTTTTGTTTCCTAATTTGTTGAATTAATGCAGGAATGGCAAAAGCACGGGCTTTAGTGTCAGACCTGTGCTCAAATCTTGACTCTATCCTAACAGTGTGAACCTGGGGAAGATACTTTACTTCTCTGAGCCTCATCTATAAAATGGAATAAATACTGCTTCATTTTAGAAAGTACCTGTGTTGATCACTAAACAAAATATGAGAAAGCAAAGCCTGGCAACACAGCAGACACTCAGTACACATTAGCTTTCTTCCTTCCACAACAGCAATCGTGGAGGCTGTGGAATTTTTTTTTTTTTTCATTTGCCTTGTTCAAATCAAGCTGTGGTTTTTTACTCCCTTCTTTTCTTTCCCATCATTAACTCTAGCTGCAGGCAAGTTTATGGAAGGCAGCAACTGTGTGTATCATTCATCAAGCAGGACACGTGTTAAACAAATGCAACACAGTGTTCTGTCTGCAGTGCGTTTGAAAAGATTATGCATGTAAATCTGCATCGTGTCACTACGCCACGACACAGAAATGCTCAGGTTTGGAAAGAAAGCCAACCGCATGTGAGACATAAAGGAATTACATAAACACAGAGGGGATTAGCTCAGCATTTTGAAGCTATGAACCTGGGTAGTCTATGGACAGTTTCTAAACTAGAGGAAGGAAATGTTTAGTTAGAGCTATTTGTTTAATATATGCACCAGATGAGATAAAGGAATTCAAAAGACAATGTAAGTCACACTTCCTCACTCTGCCCTTGCAAAGAACTCTCTACTGAGATGATTATGAAGATTTTTCTTTTCAAAACTCACAGAATTTCAACTTAGGAAGATGGCAAAGATATTTTGGTTAAAAAATGAAGATATACTCCAACTTCCTAAGAAAAAATTAAGCTGTTAATACCTCCTCCTGCCTCATAAGATGCTCTGGTGGCCAATCAGGTGCTTCTTCTGTGAATGCCATTTGCTATTTAATAACAGAAGTGGCTGGCTCTGAAAAGCAATCTGCCTGATGAGGTCTTCAAGCTGTGTAATTAGGAGGCTATTCCCTAAATTGGCCCACGGTGCCTATGGGATCAGATGAACAAGGCAGAAGGCCTCAGCCATTTAGAGGGAGCCAGCATGGGAAAGAGTTGACAATTCTCTTTTCATCCATTTCTCTGCTTCTCAGTGACACCAGGAAAGAGTGCCTTCCTTCCATCAATCTAACGACAAGTATTCATCCACTTGAGGAAAATCTACTGAGTGCTTCCGTGTGCCAGGCAGTATGAGGGGTGCTGGATGCAAGGAACAAGTTAGATACGATTCCTACCTTCCAAGCTTACAATCTAACGGAAAGAAGATGGAAAATAAAGATGGAAATAAATGTGTAACTGTTAATGGTAAGTGTGATGAAGAAAAAGAACGTGCTATGCAAGAGAGGCCAGTGTGGATGAATAATTGAGATTGAGCAGATTAGGGAAGCTGTCCCTGAAAAAGTGACATTTAGGCTATGATCCAAAGTAGGAGTAACAATTAGACATGCAAGAGTGTTCCAAGCAAAGGCAACAGCATATGCGTAACTCCTGGGGATGCAAAGGTATGGTGCATTTGAGGAACTGAAAGGCCAGTGTGCCTAGACCGGTGTACAGGGATGACAGTGGCATCAGACTGCAGAGATTAGAGGCAGACTAGGGCCATATCAGAAGGCAAAGCCTTTTTTTTTTTTTTTAATGTTATTTATTTTTGAGAGAGAGAAAGAGACAGAGCACGAGCGGGGTAGGGGCAGAGAGAGAGGAAGACACAGAATCCAAAGCACGTTCCAGGCTCTGAGCTGTCAGCCCAGAGCCCGACGTGGGGCTTGACCTCACGGACTGTGAGATTATGACCTGAGCTGAAGTTGGACACTTAACCGACCGAGCCGCCCAGGTGCCCCCATAAGGCAAAGCCTTCTAGGCCAAAATAACTTTTTTCCAAAAGACTATGGAGCCACTGATAAATTTAAAGCATGGGAATGATATAATCCAATATATATTTTTAAAAGTCCACTCTGGCTGCAGTCTGGAAAACAGAAAAGCCCCACACAAGTGTGCCTGGCACATTAGCTACAGCAGCCTTCTGATTTGAAACAGTTTGTTCACAGCAAGGGATTTCCCTCCTCATGTCTCTAACCCAGTTTGTCAAATCCAACAGGTTCCACTTTGGTCTTTGGGAGAGAAGTATTGATAGAGACCATTGGAACAGGAAGAGACTTCAGATTCCTCCACCCCATGTTAACAGATGATAAAATGGAGGTCAAACAGTAGAGATGGGACCGGGTCCCAGGTTCTCCAGGACTCCCAGTCCAGGTCAATTTACAATCCACTGGAACAATAAGGAAAAGCCCATTTGTCTTCCTCAACTAGACTTAAAATCATAGCCTCAAGGTTGCGATGATCTAATGCAATCCACCTTCCAGCCCTGGAGGCTCTGTGCTCTGTCCAATTCTGCAATGGACCAGTTTGAAAGGAATATGAATTCCTGAAAGTCTGCTCCCAATGCTAATGCAAAGGTCACAAACTGGGGGCCCATTAATACACTTTGTCTCACAGTCTTTAAAAAAAAAAAAAAGTGAATTTGTTACCAACATTTAGGAAAGATCTTATATAAAAATGTGAGTTACTGGCTTATTCTAGAAATACAAACCTTAGCGTCTGATAACACTGATTACCAGGTTTAACTTCTGCCTGGCAATGATCAGCAGGAGCTGGGCAGAGGCTGCTCCCTTCAGACAGGGTGCAGGCTCTCCCGCTTACCCCAGCCCCTTCCATTTGGCTAAGCGCCAATCACTGTATCGCCACTATTACGTTCCTTAGATGGAGCCAGTTTCAGTATTCAAATTACTTGCCTGGCCTTTTAGTGTTTGAGTTTAACAAAAAAGGAATTTTGAAACAAGAAGAGAGTTTCTCCTTATCATTAAGTTCCCTTTATTGTGCCTTCTCTCTTGTTCCATCCCAAGCTGGAGGGACTACTTCTTCCTGACTTGACCCAGCCTCCTCAATTCCAAAAGAGATCATGAAGAGGTCCCTTTGGCAAAAGCCACCTTACCTCTGGGAAGCTGGCCATATTCACCAAAATCAGCTGTGGAGACTTCATGGAGATCTGGCCAATCTGGTTTAAAGCAAGCTTCCCATCAGCAGTTACCACAGTGATATGATCAAGGGATCCTAAAAGAAAAGTCACAGAGTCTTAGAACTCAGAAAGACCTTAACAGCCCCACATCTAAGTCCCTACCTAATTCAGATTCAACTAATATTCAGTGATCCCTTATCGATGTGGCAAGACTGTTCAAGGGGCTGTCACAGGAGCAGCAGTGTCACATGCTGGAAAGAGCTCTGAAGCGTTGTCAGAACTAGGACTTCCCTACCGTCAACCAGGGTGGCCAATCATAAATGGCTCATTCTGAGACACAAAGAAAAAGTGGGGGAGGGGTCCTCTTAGGCAAACTGGGAATTGTCCCAGCATACCGTTGTAAGAATAATGCAGTGCAGTACTTATTAAGACCCCAAGATCTGATGTGAAGTATTCAACCAGATTCAATGTCATCACAGGAGAGGAGGTTGTTGACAACACTGGCTTCAATCTGGAAAAGTCCAGGAGGTATAATGGTAAAAATCTCCACAATTCTAAAGATCAATGACCTGGGTTCAAATACCAACTCTGTCCCCTCCTGATTATGTGACCCTAGGCAGATCCCCTAAACCTTTAGACACCTGTTTCCTGATCTCTGTAAATGGGGCATACAAATTGTACCTACCTCATCGGGTTGTTATGAAAGTATCTGGAAAGCACTTGTAACTGGCATATACGAGTGCCCAGTAAATGTTAACTATTACTACTTCTTGACTTTCTCCTGTATTTTAACCAAGCTAAACTACTTACAATTTCTCTAATACAGTCTGCTCTTTCTTGCCTCAGGATTCTGAGCATATATTGTTCTTTCTATTGAGAATGTCCTTCTCTGCTCAGATAACTCCAGCTCATTCTTTAACACTCAGCTATAATAGCATCCAATCTCAGGAATCTTATCTCACCTTCTAGGCTCGATAACAAACCCCCTTATGAGCTCCCTAGGACGCCATGGACCCCTTCTATAATGATGATAACCAGTATTTGCTGAACATTTCCTATGTGCAAGACACCATACTAAATGTTCTCTATAATTTCTTTTGCTTTCATTATCACAACTCTATGAGATAGTTCCACTATTTTACAGATGAGGAAACGGAGGACCAGACAGTAACTTGCCCAAGGTCACAACAGTTCTTAATAATGGAGCCTAAATTCAAACCCAGGTCTGGACAACTCTACAGGCATGTTCTTCACCACTCTGCTTTGCTATCTGGTTTTATCCATGTTGGTTTACTTGTTGATCTCTTCACATTAGGCTCTGGGCTCTTGGAAGCTGGGAACAATGTCCTTTCTCTCTGTATCTACAGCACCTACTCATCAGCACGGAATAAGTGCTCAATAATGTTTTGGTGAATACATCAGTGTACAGATGGATGGATGAATGGAAGAGGGCAAGAACAAATACATGGATAAATTTGTATCTTAGACAACTATTAAAAGCAATCAACAGAAGACCATGGGGGAGGGGAAGGAAAAAAAAATTAAGAGAGAGAGGGAGCCAAACCATAAGAAACTCTTAAAAACTGAGAACAAATTGAGGGTTGGTGGGGGGTGGGGGGGGTGGGTGATGGGTATTGAGGAGGGCACCTGTTGGGATGAGCACTGGGTGTTGTATGGAAACCAATCTGACAATAAATTTCATATTAAAAAAATAATTTTTTTAAGAGTTTTTTTTTTCAACGTTTATTTATTTTTGGGACAGAGAGAGACAGAGCATGAACAGGGGAGGGGCAGAGAGAGAGGGAGACACAGAATCGGAAACAGGCTCCAGGCTCTGAGCCATCAGCCCAGAGCCTGACGCGGGGCTCGAACTCCTGGACCGCGAGATCGTGACCTGGCTGAAGTCGGACGCTTAACCGACTGCGCCACCCAGGCGCCCCTAAAAAAATAATTTTTAAAAAAAGCAATCAACTACCTTGGAGATAGAAATTACTGGTAGACAGACAGAGGTGTGAAAGGAAAAGTGCCTGCTGGCCCAGATAGTGGTGAAAGAGGATATGGAAGAATATGGCACAGAAAAGACTGGCTAAGTTCAGTTTCACCCAGTCTCTTCACGGCCCCAAGTTCTAGAGAGAACGTTACACAAACATAACCCTGAAGAGAAGGAGGCAAAGAGGAAATACCAACGGGAGGCCTTCTGAAAATGGATCTTAACTCAGCCTTCCTGATTTGCCATAAGATCCTTTGCCACAGAAGTCGCAACACGGGCTTTTCAGTATGCAATTGTGGTGGTTCCCATTCCCTAAATCCATATCGACATAATGCATCAAATCCTTTTCCCTCAATCTGTCCCCAGCGAGAATCTCCCTCAGCCTCATTCCTGCCCCTCATTTTCGCAGAGGTTAACATTTAACAAATTACACTCCCAACCCCTTTCCAGGCCCATCATCTTTTTAAGTTCAACAAGAGTGGAGCTTGCTGGCTAATTTTAAGTATCACATTTCTCCCTGAGCTCCTCTCAAACTGCTCTCTGGTTTCGGCTGCAGAATGTTAACAGGCCAGAAAGCACAGGGGAGACAAAGCACTTTATCAGTTTCATACCTAAAATAATAAGCAAGTTTAAAATAAACAGTTGGGAGAGATTGAATGGCACGCTCTACTGTCAGCAAAGGCAGAAATGCCCCAGTCCAAAGGTTGACAAATGACGGAATGGTCTTCTGATTTCACACAGGATCTCGTCTCTAAACTCAGTATGTTTCTGCTGGTGTTTATAAATGGAGCTGTATATTTTTCATTTGGTTTTCTTAAGAACAAGTTCATGAAGTATTTCCTAGTTTCCTTAGGAACTATCCCAGCCAAGATGTGAGTGGGAGCAGCCCAAGCTCCTAGAGATACCTTCAGAGGGGGTCCCAGGCTTGACTCTAGGATGATGACAATTTCCAAAAGGCCAATTTAACAGCAATTGGATTTTTCCTGCCTGCCTGCACCATTAGCTGACAACTCACTTCTTCCATCACATCTGCAAACAGTTCTCTTAGACAGTTCTGACATATCCCACTTAGAAAAGCCACTTTCAGGAAGTTATCAACCCAAACGGAATCTTCCTGGTCAAGCTCAGAGGTACAGAAATGCCTCAGATGGATAGGTCTGCAGCCACTTGGTTCCCAGTAGGGGATAAGAATGGCCAAATAGGACAAATTGGAAAAATCAGACCAAAGATGTCAGTTACTGTAAGACCAAATACCTAGAAGTGCTTATATAGTATAATCGTAATAAAAATCCCATTTTTTGAGAGTGCAATTCCATGAGAGCAAAGACCATGCCTACTTTTGTTCACCACTTGTGGACCAGCACAATACTTAGTTCATCGTTGAATGGACAAATAAACGTAGTATTAACTACGAGCCAGGCACTGTGCTCAAACCGTTACATGTGTTATCTCACTGACTTTAATACTCACTCCAAAGCTATAAGGTGGGAATCAGACAAGGAAACTGAGGACCAGAAAAGTAAAGTTAACTGCCCATGGTCACCAGTTAGTAAGTAACAAAGCTAGGACTGAAACCCAGCCCTGCCAAAGCCATGATCTTTCCACTATGCCCTTCTCCAAAACATTGGTTCAGTCACTAACCTGGTGAGGTCCTTATATTGACAGTCTTATTGAAATTATCTTTGAGCGCTTCTGTCACAGACTTCATTTCTTCATCCACCTCTTCCAAGCTGATTATATCCTCAACCAAGGCAGCATTCAGATTCACTCTGGTTTGGATCTGTCCTTTCCCTTTGGCTAAAAAGTCAACAATCAGTGAACACAAGAACAGCAGCAGAAACAGAGACAATAAACAATTAGGGAAGAAATGCCTACGAAATGCAGGGAAAAATGCCAAGTGCTAAAAAACTGTACATCATCAGTGTCCTACAAAATAGCCTACATTTATTACCCACTGGATTCCCAGAAAATGCTAATCATTTTCTGAGGTACTAGTGAAGGTACAGGCTTTATAATGAAACACCCCAGGTGAAAATCCTGGCTATCACGCATATGAGTTTTATGACTTTGAGCAATTACTCTGCTCTTCTGAGTATCAGGTTCCTTCCCTATAAAACAGGGATAATATCTGTATTGCCAGGTTGCTATGATACAAATTAAGTAATTCAAACACCTATAACAGCACTATCCACATGGCATGCACTCCATAAATAAATTAATTCCTTATTTTTTAGAAAAATAAACAGAAGATGAGAAAGGTAAAGTGACTTGCCTAATGTCACCAGATCATGAAATAGTATAGCCAAGATTTGGTCTCAGATCTGCCTAATTTTAACCTACAAACTTTCCATTAGATTGTCTCTATACAATCTAATTGGAGACACAGGAAATACATTAATTCATTTTAAAACAAATGCTAAGACAAGGATATGCAAAGTATCTGATAGCTGGTAGAGACAAAAGGAACAACAGTAGTTACAGACATTAAATACCACCAGTGGTGATAATAATGACTCATATTTCAGAAAAATCAGCAATGGGAACTGAATAAAATTCTATTTTATGCCTAAGCCACCATGGTGATTTTTCATTTACATTCTATGTATATAGATCACTCCCACAAGTATACAAATATTCCTGCATTTCTTCGTGGGAGGTGGGTCAAGGGAAAAAAAAAAAGAAAAATATTAAGTACTACTACTATCCACTTATTTGCTAACAATTCAAGTATTTATTGAGATTCATTCACAACAAATTTTATTAAACATCTACAGAGAGCTAACTCCTGTGGTATTTGTACAGCATATTATAATTTGCAATGCAATTTAAAGTACATTCTTCTATTAGATAATCAAAGCAGCTCTTGGAAGTAGGAAGAACAGATATTATTACTGTTCCCATTGTAGAGGGAGATGAGATGAGATGAGAAATCTATAGCACAAGTCATTTAAATGTGTTCCCCAAAGTACCAACCAGTAAGCAGCAGAGTGATTTTTAAAAAAATATTTATTGGCTTGTGCCACCACCGTTCTTGAAACCTTATTGCCCTTAAGTTAACAGAATAATGGCTTAGTATTTTTGGAACTAATGAAAGATGACAATCTTCAGATTCAGAAACACAAGTTCCAAACAGGATACTAAAAGTACATTCATACCTAGACATCCTGTGAATGCAGAAAATTAAGGACAAAGAGATCTTGAAAAGAGCCCAAGATAAAAGAAAAATTATCTAAAAAGGATCCAAATTTACAGTAACAGCAGACTTTCCAAGAGCAACAACAGGAGCTAGAAATGATGGAGACAGTATCTTCAATTTTAGATTTTCTAAACTAAGAATGTATGTTAAAATTTTTAAGTGGGAGCCTGGGTGGCTCAGTCTGTTAAGCGTCTGATTTTTGGCTCAGGGCATGATCTCATAGTTCCTAAGTTTGAGCCCCGAGTCAGGCTCTGTGCTGACAGCTCAGAGCCTGGAGCCTACTTCGGATTCTGTGTCTTCCTCTCTCTCTCTCTGCCCTTCCCCTGCTCACACTCTCTCTCTCTCTCTCTCTCTCTCTCTCTCTCAAAACAAAAAGAAAAAAATTAAGTTATGCCCATCAATATGAGGATAGATAATATGAATGAAATAGTATACAGTCATGAGAAAGAAAGATCTACAACTACACAGAATAAATCTCACAATCATAACGTTGAGCAAAGAGGCTAGACACTAGAATACAGAGTGTGCAGTACAAAAGCCAGATACAGGAATATAGAGACAAACGTAATCCTGCCACTAGAAGTCAGAATACAGGGGCGCTCAGTCGGTAAGCGTCCAATTTCAGCTCAGGTCATGATCTGGCAGTCTGTGTGTTCGAGCCTCACGTCGGGCTCTGCGCTGACAGCTCGGAGCCTGGAGCCTGCTTTGGATTCTGTGTCTCCTTCTCTCTCTGCTCCTCCCCCACTCACACTCTGTCTCTCTCTCAAAAATAAACATTAAAAAAAATTAAAAAAAAAAAAGAAGTCAGGATATAGTTACCTACAAGGAGTAGGAGGAGGTAAATTACTAGAAGGGAGCATAAAGGGGACTTCTGACATGCTGGGAATTTCTGGTTTTTGATCTAGGTGCTGATTACACAAGTGTTTTCAGTTTGTGAAAATGACCAAGCTGTTTCTTATGATAACTGCACTTTTCTATAGGTGCCTTTCAATTTCTATAAAAAGTTAAAAAAAAGAAATTAAGGGTAACTACCAAAACAATAAGAAATAAAATGTATAACTTCCAAATTAGCAGAGATGAGAAAACAGAAATAAAAAAAAATTTGGCTAATTCAATAGAAAGGAGGAGAAAAACAAAGAAAACTATGATAAAGTAAAAAATAAAATGGTAGATATACAAATACTCAGTAATCACAATAAATATACACAGACGAAGCATTTGACTTAAAAGTTTGAGGCTCTCAGGATGCCTGAGTGGCTCAGTCAGTTAAGCATCCAAGTCCTAATTTCAGCTCAAGTCACGATCTCACAGTCACGAGATCGGGCTCCCATGTCAGGTTTCTCACTGAGTGTGGAGCCTGCTTGGGATTCTCTCTCTCCCTCTTCTCTCTCTGCTCCTCCCCACCTTGCACGTGCTTTCTCTCTCTCTCTCTCTCTCTCTCGAAAATAAATAAACATTAGAAAACTCCATCTATTTCAAAAACAAAAGTTACAGATTCTCAGTAAGATATTTTTAAATCTAGTCATATACAACACATAAGAGGTTTTGCAAAAACATAAGATTACAGAAAGTTTAATGTACATGAATGGAAAAATAACCCTGGAAAATATTAAACAAAAGAAGGCTGATAGTTATATCAACATCTAAAAATAGATTTTAAGACAAAATGCATTTTTAGAAAAAATTAAGGCCACTTCATAATGAAAATAGAAACAATTCACCAGAAAGATACTCCCCTTCTGAGCTTAAATACACCACATAATGTAGCGTCAAGATCAATGGAATTAAAAGGAGAAACTGATGAATCTACAATCATACAAAGACATTCAAAATACCTTCCTTCATAACTGATAAATTGAGCAAATAAAAAAATAGAAAATTTGATCAATACAATTAGCCAACTCAATCTAATGGTCATATACACAATCTTGCATCCAGCAGTAAGAGAATACATATTCTTCTCAAGCATATTTGGACTTGTATATAAAATGATCTTGTTCTATCCCTCAAAACAAATCTCAATAAATATCAAAGAATCTTCATCATATAGGACATAGTCTCTGATCACAGTGGGATCAAGCTAACTCTCCAAAAAACATGTTTGAAAAATTTTAAACACTTCAAAATAAGTCATGAACTAATGGAAAACACATAATGAAAATTTTAAGTGTTTTAAAATAATAATAATAATACTGTATATCTAAAACGTCTTTGAGCCACCTGACATATTTACATAGAAGTTTATAGCTTTATACACTTATAGGAAAAGAACAAAGGTTGAAAATTAATGAACTGTCCAGTTCAAAGGATAGAAAAAGAAAGACGGGAGAAAATAAACAATAAAGGGCAGAAATCAATAAAACCAAAAATGACAAATCAACAAAATTAAAATCTCTTTCTTAAAAGGCTTATGAAACCAAAAAACTTCTTTCAAGAATAACTGAGGAAAAAAAGGAAGTAGACAAATCAATTAATATTAAGAAAGAAAAGGAGAAGACAGTTACCAAAACATTAGAGATTTTAATAATTTTGAGAGACTATTATGGACAACTCTATGCCAACAACTTTGAAAACGTGGAAATAATAAAAAATTTCCTAAAAATACATAATTTACTAAAATTAACTGAAGAAAAAAGAGAACATCTAAATAGCATCATAATCATTAAAGAAACTGAATCTATGATTTAAAGCCTGCCCACACACAATACCAGGTTCAGGTGATTTCATAGGCATGTTCTAAGAATCATGTAAGGAACTGATTAATCCTGGTCTTACACAGACCATCCCACTGAGAGAGAGACAGAAAGACAAAGATGAACTCCCAGCTCACATCATGAGACTAATATAGTCTTGATACCAAAACCAGACAAGGAAATGCTAGAAAGTTATACCCATCAATATCAGAGACTTACATTAAGGCTAACCTCACATAAAGGTATAGACTCAAAAATCCTAAATTAATATTAGCAAACCAAATCCAACAACATACATACAAATTATGTATCAAGCAGTGTACAAACAAATTATATATCAAAAGGAGCAAGCAGGGCTCATACCAAAAATGCAAAAGTGGTTTAACAGCAGAAAAAGCTACTGATGTTGAGTCACCCCATTAATAGATTAAAAAAGTAAAAAAAAAAAAAAAGACGATCGTCTCAATAAATGCACTAAGAGCATTTGATAAAAACTTAACACCCATTCAAAACAAAAATTCTTAACAAAATAGGGACAGAAGATATTTGCTTAAAAGAGAAACTACTGAAAAATAAAGCAAACATAATTCTTGATGTTAACATATGAGAAGTGTTCCTTAACAAGTCAGAAATATAACAAGGATGCCTACTATCATCAGTCACGTTTATTCAAATTATATTAGAGTTCCTAGCCAATGCAGTTAGAAAGAGAGAAGGGAGGGAGGAAGAAAGGAAGAGAGGGGAGGAAGAAAAGGTATATGGATTAGAAAGGGAAAAACAGAGCTACCATCATTTACGGGTATCACAATTACCTGGAAAATTCAAAAGAATATACAAATAATAGATCTAATAAAAGAGTTCAAAGTTGCAAGATATCACATGAGTGTATAATAACCAAAAGTGTTCCTATTCACCAGCAACCAAACAGCACGAGTGATCTTTAAAAAAGATATGAATTTAAAAAAACAAATCTTCCATAAAATAACACAATAGATCCACTCATGACCTTAAGGTAGGGTCATTTTTCTTAAACTGAAAAAAAAAAAAAAGCATTATCCATAAAGGAAAAGATTAACAAATTGACTACCTGAAAATTAAGAACTTCTGTTCATCAAAAGACACAATTAAATGTAAGTGATGAATCACTGAATTCTACTCCTGACACCAACATTACACTATGTTAACTAACTCGAATTTAAATAAAAACTTGAAACAAAACACCACTAAAAGACTGAAATGGAAAGCACATCAGCAATACGTACATATGACATAAGTCTTATCTTTAGAATATACTGAAACTCCTACCAATTGACTTTTTTTTAACGGGCAAAAGACTGGAAAGAGGATATACAAAGAGCCAAAAAACAAATGTAAAGGTGCTCGCCATCATCACCCATCAAGAAATGACAAATTAAAACCACAATGAGATAAAACCACACACCCATCAGAATGGCTAGAAATAAAAAGACAGTGTACTGAGCACTCGTGAGTACGTGGAACAAAGAGAAAGCTAAAACCTTTTTGGTAGGAGTGTAAACTGGCACAACTATTCTGGAAAACTGTATGTACTGAAAGGGAACATACACATCCTCGGAAGACTCGACCATCCCACCTCTTGGTATATGTACACCAAGAGGAAGGTATATATATATATATGGGCACCAAAATCCATGTACATGCACATTCACAGCATTATTTACTTCCAGTTCAAAACTGGAAGCAGCCCAAATGTCCATCAACTGGACAAGCATACACAAGTTGTGGCATAAGCATTCACTAGGATACCATAAATAAAAACGCACAGACAACTACTACATGCAACAACATAGACAAATCTCACAAACAGATTGTTACCGCAGGAAGCCAGGCACAAAAGAAGCTACAGTGAGCTCAAAAAGGGAAAACCTAATCTATAGTGCTAAAGTCCCAAAATGGGTTATCTTTTAAAGGGTGACAACCGAAAGGGACGGGCAGGAAGCTTCCAGAGTACGAGTGATGTTCTATATCTTGACGTGGGTGACGGTTACAAGGCTGTGTTCACTTTGTGAGAATTCTCTGAACTGTAACCACTTACAATGAATGTATGTACTATTCTGCATATATGTTATAACCCCAAAATTTATTTAATAAAAAATATGTATGTGACCAAAACGACAATACCCAGAAATAAAGCTGATCAAAGAAATGTATAAAATCTTTATGGAGAAAAATTAACAATATGATTATAAATTTCACATACAGGAGTGAAAGGCCAGAAAAGTGTGTATGTATAGTAAGGGGAAAGATTTTTACCACTAGGTTCAAGGCTTTATGACAGTGATTCAGGTAGCAAGAAATTTAGAACAGGAAGAGATAAGTAATTCAACAAAATCAACTAAAATCAACAAAAAACTTGACATGCGACAGAGGAGGCATTACAAATCTGGGAGTAAAGAAGGGGCTAATCAATAAGTGATGCTGACACAACATATGACCCATTTCAAAAAAGAAACTTAAAACTAGATTCCCAGCCTCACAACACCTTCAAAAATAAATTCCATATGGACTCAAAACCCACGAAAAGTAAAAAACTTTAAAATATTTAGAAGAAAATATAGAAGAATATGACTCTGGGTAGGTAAGGATTTGTTACAGAAGACACAAAAAGTACAAATGATAAAGGAAAGGACGAAAAAAATAGGACCACATTAAAACTTATGGTCAACAAAAGATACCATTAAGTAAAAGGCAAAGCAGACAGCTACAGCACAATCAACAAACGACTCTCATTCCTAATACAGAAGGAATCCAACAAATTTCAAAGAAAAAGTGAAACAACCGACTTTTTAAAGAGGCAATCAGAAGAGCTAAAAACTGAGCAGCCAAGTAAATATGAAAAGCTGCTTACACGCTATAGCTAATGTGTGCATCAGGAGGCTCCCCCCATTCCCAGTTCTGCCACTATCTAGATGTGACCATGGACAAACATCTTACATAGGTACCTCGATCTCCTCGTTTGCAAATGGTGAGATTTGGGCTTCACCAGATAATTATAAAAATGTCTTCACTAGATAATAATAATTCTTTCAGTAGATAATTATAAAGGTCAAATTATTAAATACGTGAATTTGTGAAATTAAAAAAAAATCAGTGCAACATACAGATGAAAAGTCGTTACCATTATCACTAGTAACAATATAAATCTTCTAACTATTAATGCTCTTTCAGCAATTTGTTAATTTTCCTATTAATAGCAAAGGGAGGGTTCATATGAAACCATAAAAGGAAAGTCAGCGGAAAAAATATTCAGCAGCACGTTTCCAACACCATCCTTGGGAACGGACTCCCTGACCCACCCCTGCAAATAGCACGTGTGCTTTGAGGTGTGCTGAGGAGTGCTTTCTCCACTCCTTATTCATTCAACAACATTTTTTGATACATACTATGTGTCAGGACCTGTTAGGTACTAAATAAGGCACGGACCCTATTCTCATAGGGTCCAGCATAGAAGACACAGAACAAACAATAATTAATCTCACAATTAATTGATTAATTAACGGGTGCTGTGCTAAGGACGTCAAAGGTAAAATAACAGTGCACAAGAGTGCACGTAACAAGGGACCTGACCCAGTCTAAGGGGTCAGAGAGGACTTCCCTGAGGAAGCGACATTTAAGCTGAGACCTGCGGCATATCAAAGTCTCATTCTTGGATGACACAAACCATTAAGATCATCCATCTAAATCCATGGCTCTAATACCTCCTCACCCAACAAACTTCTGGTTTTAATTTCACTTCCAACAGAGGTCTTGCTTGTTATAAGGAGAAAATATGTTGATCTCTGCCACAAATATTCTGGTTGGCTTGGCACTTACATCTCTAATTCCAAAACTAAAACTAAAAGAAGGAAATGAGGTATATTCTGAGCAATGGTAACATAGGAGGCCACACGGTAATGAGCAAAGAGACCCTTGGTTCTAACACTGTCTCTGTCACTGTGGTATTTAAGCTGATCAACTGAACTATCTGAGACACCATCTCCACGTTCTTCCTCAAGGGGAGAAATTCAGTACATCTCTGAGATCCCTTCCAGCTATAATAGTTCAAGGGCTAAATGCAAGAAAAAGGCAAAGAGGTCATATAGCTCTACCTTTGGCTTTCTTGGTAGCGAAATAACGGATTGGTACAGCTGGTGAGGCCATGTATTGTCCATGGTCACTTTGTCTGCCACTCACTGTCTTCAGCGTCACTTCTGAAACAGGTCTGGTCAAGGCTGCAAAGGAGTTACAAAAGACAGGGTGGACCAAGCGGAAGCATCTTAATCCCAAGGCCATGCCGGAAGACAATCCTTGTGAACATTCACTATAAAGACTAAGACCAAAAAAAAAGAAAAAAAAGAAAAAAAAAGGAAAACAGATAGTATTACAACTTCAGAAAATAATTTGTACCAGTTATCAAGCAACAACTGCAAACTAAGCTATGTGCCAGGCAATTTAAATATATTACCTCCTCCCAACAGCCATACAAGGAAATATGATTAGCCCCATATTACAGAAAGATACTGAAGCTCACAGAGATTTAAGTAACTTGCCCACAGTCTGTAGGACTCCAAATCGCCAGGCTCTTTCCACTGTACCAAATGCCCCTTATAGTACACAGGAAACACAGAGTTAAGTAAATGTGCAGCAGCTGAAATCTTTAATGATGCTAATTAAACCCTTACATGAGAAAAGGCAAAAAAATCTTGATAAAGTTATACTCTAAAAAGGGAGGGCAGAGCACTGGAAGAGGACTTTAAACTAAATTTAAAAAACTCATTTCAACAGGCATAAAATGACTGGAAAATTCACACGACAGCATTTAATTAAAATTTTCTTTGGTTCCTTATGCGCTGATTACCAATTAGAATGCACTTTACTTTAATGTGAGTCTGAAGCACGGTTGAGGTTTGAGGTCTTCCATGTTACAGAACTAAAGCTCTGGAAAATGCCACCCTCCTCTGTGTTAACACAAGTTATACATTATACTTCTAAGGTCTCTGACCATGAAAAGATGCGGGAGTCTATAGCCAGCTTCTGCCAGGAATCTGGCTATCACTCAGTTAAAACCAAGAGCAATTAGCATCAAATACCTGGAAGTTACTATCTTTGAAAATCAGTCCTATACCTCATTAGAGAAAAAAAAAAAAAAATCCCATCCTTAAATGTTAATGCAGCAGAACTGAATAAAAGCATGCACTTTGCAGCCAGGAAGACTGGGAATCTAATCCCAGCTCCACCACTGACTAAATGCCCCTGAGCATCTCTGCACCTTCATTTCCTCAGCTGTGAAATGGGGATAATTATAGTTATTTCTTAGGCTCGGGAAGAATAAATGAGTTTATGCAGGTAAGATAATTGGCACAGTGCCCAGCTAATAGCAGGAGCCCCCAAAAGATTATCTGTTGACAGCTATCACCTTTCCTTTCAAAAAGACTTCTACACAACGGTCAGACACAACAAAGAATCCCGCGTGTCTTTACCAATGTATAAGATAGTCTAGTCAGTCAGATCTGGATGTAAATTCCAACTTTGGGCAATTCACTGCACCTATCTGGTCATCACTTTCTTCATCTGCAAAATGAGAAAAATAATCCCGATCTTAAAATGAGATAGTAAATGCATGTAAAACACCTAGCACAGTGCCCGGGATATAGTACCTACTTAATAAATGCTAGCTACCATTATTATTATTTCTTAAAAGAAAAGCGAGTAAATCAAAGGCAAATAATTTCTCCTGATGGAGTTTTTTTTTTCTCTCCTGCTGGAATTTTTAATAGCAAGGGATGCTAGATGTCAGTGATTGACTGCATGAAATCAGTAAAAGCAAATCTAGATTTTAAAAAGTATCTTTCCTCTTCTTTAATTATTTTCAATAGCTACTATTAATTGAAGTCAGGCCTGGGCTGCTTGCTTTACCATGTCTAATCCTCCCAATAATGCCACAGAGAAAGTATAATAATCTCCATTTTACAGATGTAGAAACTGATGCTCAAAGAGACCATCGTTGTCCAAGGGCACGGAACTATTAGCTCTGCCCTATTTTGCCAAAACTGTTCACAAAATTTGGCTCTAAGTGAGGTTTCTATATCTAGGTTTTTCTAATATAGCCAATGCCTTACCCACACTTATATCCAAATATGGCTGTATAATAATGTGTTTTGTTGTTGTTGTTGTTTTTTAATCTACAGGGTTTCAATCTGGCTGCTACATTTAAGACAGGTTTCCTGGTGTTCCTGTTGCAGGTCATAATACCAATCCACAAAGCAACAGGAAATCAAAATGGGTTAGAAATAAACAACCTTTGACAGAAAGCGCAGCACCCAAAAGCAGACCCAGTACATGTGAACCGGAAGACAACTCTATAAATAAACCACATTGCTGAAATGTTTTAGGCGTAGATTTTAATTGCACAGAAGTCAGGAAATTTCAAAGTAGAGGTTCAATAAAGGCAGTCCCTTGGGCCCTTTACCTTAAGGACATGCATATTAGGAGCTGTGTGACCTTGCATAGATCATTTAGCCTCTCTGAGCTACAGTTTCCACCCCATTTTTCAAAAAGGTAATTGTAACAATAATAATGAAACAATTGCTAACATTTACAGAGTTACAACTATGTGCCAGAAACTATTCTAAACGCTGTATTGCATACATTAACTCATTTGAGCCTCATGATATCACTATGAAAAAAGGACTATTAGTATACCCATTCTATGGATGAAGAAACAAAGGCACAGATAACTTGCCCAAGATTAGATTTCAGGCAATCTAGCTCCAGAGTCTGTGCTCTTATCCAGTGTACTGTATACTATTACATATATGAAACACTCAGCAATTATTGATGTTATTATTGAAACTGTTGGGAGTATACTTTAAATCTATTTGAGGCACATACTATTTTTCCAAAGTTAAGGTTCTCAAAACTTGACTTTGTGTTTTCTATAGAAGGTGCATTTTAATTTTGTAAAGAACTAGATGAGGGACACAAAGCCCTAGCTTATCTATTGTCCCAGCAACTTCTCACAATCCAGCTGTATATTAGCTTATAATATGTACATTTTTATAAACACGGATGTGGGTCCTCATTGTATATAAAGTACTTTCACATGTATTATCTGATAACCAAATTCATAATTACCACCCACATTTTACAAATAAGCAAAATGATTTTTCATTTCCTTGAATATTCCTCCTGCTCCTGGGTCTTCAAACATAATGCTGAAGTTGAATCTGCTTGCAATGATCTTCCCCCACCTCTTTAATGAACTACCTCTCATTTTGCTTTCAGATTTCAGCTTAAGCATCACTTTCTCAGAGGATGCCTTTCTTGGCTGTCTCCTCCAGTCCAACTCGGTCAAATGTCCTGTAGCCCACTTTCATCAACACCCTATACTTTTTTCATAGCACTTAAACAGTATCAGCTAATATCTGTGTAGTTATTTGATCACTGCCTACATCCCTCCCTGAGACTATAACCACCACAAAGACTGATCTCTGGTTCTCTTGTTCACTGCTGTACCTCCAGCATAGCACAGCCCCTGAATACAGAAGACACTGAATATGAGTGATGAATACATACATGAATGAAAGTCTAGAAAGATTAAGTCCTTGCCCAAGGTCACAATTACGGTGCAAGATCTGGACTCTAAGCCTCAGATTGAAGGTCCTGGGCTCTACTTCCCAACAGTGCTTCGATCATCTCTTAGTCTCCCAGATTTTTCACATAGAGATAGTAGGGTATGCTCTCTAAATTCAGTGCCACACACAGGTATTTGCAGCAACTGACTACATAGTATCTGACTATTCACAGCATCATGACTATAGTATAGAATCATGTCCCTGATGTAACCAAAGGAGGATGACACACTTTAACAGGTAGAGAAAGAACTTTTGCCTAAGAGCTAGAAGGTACAGATCCCAATATTCCTATCTCATCACTCCCTGCCAACAATCCTCTTTAGATTCATAACCACCTGTATTACAAAAAGCATTTGTGGCAGCTCTCCAGTGACATGTGACTTGTACCAAACCACTTCTCCTACCTAGATTGTGTTTCGCCAACTGCAAAATGAAGGGTCAGTTCAGGTTTTCATTCTTTTGAACTATAAAGCTCTCCAAGATTCTGGAAAATGCAGTAGAGTGCGGTGAAAGGAAAAAAGGCACCAAACTTAGAGAAGACCTGGGAAAGAGTCCTGGTTCTAGCACTTCCTAGATATGTGACCTCAGATAGATCACACTCCCTGGACCTCAATCTCCTAGGTAAAATGTAGATGACAGTACTATTTGTCAGGGTTACCAGGACGATCGAATGAGGTAAGGGCTGCAGAAATACTTTGTAACTAGACAACGGCTACTGAAATGGCAACTGTTTGCTGAGGGAAGGCACAGAGTAATGGTTAAAAGTTAAGGTTTTGTAATTTAAGCTCCATCCCTCACCAGCCTAATGACCCTGATAAAGTTATTTCTCTGAGCTTCCATTTCTTCATCTCGGGGGGGGGGGGAGGGTAATAATACCTACCCCCGTGGGATAGTTCTGAACACTAAATGTTCCTGCCAGATAGTGGGCTACAAAGGAGGGGATGCTATTGAATAAGCACCCTCCCCTCCGCATCCTCGAAGTTCGCAGCTGAGGGGACGAGCCCCGCCCCCACCCCACGAAAATCTCGCGGAAGCGACAGGTCCCGCCCCCAGTCTTAAAGGTCAAGCCGGATTCGAATGGAACCGGTCAGGGTACGGTGATCAGACTCCCTCAGCTTCCCCAGAGATGCTTGAGTAGAGGTCTCTGGCACCCGGATCCAGCGCGCGACTCGAGGCCGTGCAGAGGCCACTCACCAGCTTTCGCCCAGGCTACTAGGAAAAGACACACGCGACCGCGGAGACGGCGGCGGCGCGGGCGCCATGACGTCACGGGGCGGCGCGGCGGCGCAGGCGTAGCGCGTCACGGACGGCCTGGCAGCGGGCGACGTTGAGGTGGACGCGCCTGGAGGGCCGTCGGGCTGCGGGGTCGGGACCTGTTTCTGGGGCATGAGCCGAGGGGACGACGCCGAGGCCACGAGGTGAGTCCCGCCGCGAGGCGCCTCTGCACCTGAGCGCCGACCCCGCGAGGGGCTCGTAGAGGAGGCTGCCCTAGCAAGACGGCTTCTCAGGCCCCGCCCCGGATTGTCCCGCCGCTAGCCCGGAAATAACAATCCGAGAGATGACCCATTGCATCTGGGAATTCGCGGCCAGGAATCGGGAAGCCGGGGTTCCAGGCTTGACCCTGCCATTACCCTTAGCTTTAGGGACAAGTGGCTTTGCTTCTCTGGACTTTATTCCCTGTAGGATTATTCTTGCCTTCCAGGCGGCTGCAGTTTGCGAGGATAGATGTAACAAGCGTTTTTTGTGAACTCTGTTAATCTAGGGGATTGTCGCCATTGCAAACCTAAAAGATTTTAATGGTCGCATGACATCTTGATCTTATTACGCTTTTACAAAAGGCCCAGTGCTAAACTGTCACAGATACTCTTATTTAAACCCCTCCACGACCCATGAGTTAGGGATAATCGTGCCCATTCTAGAAAGGAAGAAGAAAATGAGGTTCCAAGTGGAGTCCCGTTCATTCATTCAGTTAATATTGAGCACCAGGCAGTGTACTAAATGCTGTGAATGGAACTATGTCCAGGATAGGAAGGTCCTCCAGGAGCTTACATTCTGGTGAGGGAAACAGAAAATAGAATAGTAAATAACGTTGAACGAGCAGTATACAGAAAGAAAAGGTGGCTATGGCTCTACTCTTAGGAAAAGCTTTTCTGGAAAGACACTTAGCTAAAGTCACACAATAACTGGGTGCCAAAGCCAGGATTTGAATACAGATCTTTCAGCCCCGTATCCCACACTCTTGCCACTAAAACATGCTACCCTTTTGTCATATTAAGTAGTAGTGGGTATTCCTGTTTTCAGACATGAGAAAATCCGAGAAGGTCCTATGATTGAAGTGTCATCGCAAATGTTGTCTCTTTTTTTTTTTTTTTTTTAATTTTTTTTTTCAACGTTTATTTATTTTTGGGACAGAGAGAGTCAGAGCATGAACGGGGGAGGGGCAGAGAGGGAGGGAGACACAGAATCGGAAACAGGCTCCAGGCTCTGAGCCATCAGCCCAGAGCCCGACGCGGGGCTCGAACTCACGGACCGCGAGATCGTGACCTGGCTGAAGTCGGACGCTTAACCGACTGCGCCACCCAGGCGCCCCAAATGTTGTCTCTTTTAGAGAGGACTTCCCTCTCCACTGATGCTGAAGTAGTCCAACCCCAGTCTCCATGTCAGATCACCTTACTAAATTGTGTTTGCAGCTCTGTGGCTAATTATACCTTGTTTATTTATCTTGTGTTTGTGTTGTCCCGCCCCTCCTCCAAACCATGAGCATTCCAAGCACAGAGAGCTTATTTGGTCACTGCTTTGTCCTAGACAATGCCTAGAAATAGAAGCTCAGTTTTTCTTTTTGGAATGAATGAATGATCTGTAGGAAAATAGGAGGATAGGAAAGCACAGAGAATACAGAATGCTTCTCCTGGTCTGTTTCCACTCCTAGGATTCTGTTTCTGTGTGTTTCACCTTTCTCTCAGGAGGTAAGAGCAAGAACTACAAGCTTATTCATTTCTCTTTTTTCAGCACATAGCCATGGGCTTAGCAGTTAGCAGTTGCTTGTCACACTTTGTTGAGCACATTGAAGACGTGAGTGGGAAAGGTAGAATAATACCCTCACGTGAGGGGCTGGATAAACACGTTATTAACAATAACTTAGCACCCACTGTGTACCAGACTTCATGGGCTGTGCTGAGATGAATAAGAGGTAATGGCAGTGATCAGTGTATGTCATCTGCTGTTTTTAAGACCGTTCCTACAAGCACTATCCTCTGAGGCACTTCGGGTTACATAGTATCTGTTTCCTAGAGCAAGGAGTTGTAAAGTCTGGCACAGCCTGCCATCTTCCCAGCCCTTTTTTTCTTTCTCTACCACATGATATATTTGTTAAAGCTTTGCTTTACATCTGTCATCTCATTTTTGGCCTTCTCAGCACCCTTAAGTTACAAGCAGGGCAAGGTTTCATATGTAGAGATGAGGAAACAAGCTTAGAAAGAAGTGACTTCCAATGGAAATGCCAAAATTGGAAACCAGGTCTTCTGACACCAGCGTTTTTTCTCTTGCCACTACTGTCTCCATCATAACCCTCAGCCTCCTTTTTTGGTTGTGAGATGAGTCCTTTCCAGATCGAAGACTAGTGATAATTTAAGCTAACATTCATTGAAAACTCCTCAGGTGCCATACATTGTTCTTAATGCTTTGAGTGTGTTAACTCAGTGAATCTGCACAACTTTTGTGAAGGGTCATTCTCTTTTCAGATGAGGAAACTGAGGCACAAGTGGCTAAGTACCTTGCACAAGGTTACGCAGCTAGTAAGCGTGCAACTGGAATGACTTAGGAGGAAGTTAGTCTCTTCTCTGAGTCTCTTCCAAACTATTAAACATGATACTAGCAAACATTGATTGATTGCTTACTGTTGTTGATGCAGTTTAATGATTTTTCATGCATTATCTTTAGTCTTCCCGACAGCCCTGTAAGATAAAAACTGTTATTTCCATTCATAGTGTATATGAGGGAACAGAGGCCTAGAATGTTCTGGCAATTCACCAAGTGACACAGCCTGCTTTCAAACCCAGTTCTGATTCCTAAATCTATAGCTTTAAATTTCCTGTATTGCCTCATCCATGAGGAAGAGACGTATAACTGCACTTTCCCACCCATCTCCCTCAGTGCCATTAAGACTCTCTTTCTGGTGGTTTCCAAGACTTATTTTGGGTGACAGTTTTTGAACTGGAGTATCATGTAGTAATAAAGACTTTGGCCTCCCGCCCAGTCGGCCTCTGGCTTCAAAAGAGGAAAACTTTAGTGTCTGCACGCAGAACCACACCCCTTTCACCTTAAATGGAAGCTCTTGCACTCTGGCTGCCAGAGGAGCTGTCCCAAGGGAACTGGTGCTGGGGCCCTGGTTGTGGAATAACTGAGGCCTTTGAAGAACTGCCCAGGGCTTGCCCTCCTTGAATAAATGTTTGTTGAATTGAATTTGAAGTCTCCTGTTCACACACTGCTGCTCCTCTCCTGCCTGAATGTTCACGTTTTCTTTAGTATTTCATAGAGATTGATGGAAGCAGAAACCAAAACTCTTCCCCTGGAGAACGCATCCATCCTTTCAGAGGGTTCCCTACAGGAAGGGCACCGGTTATGGATTGGCAACCTGGACCCCAAGATCACAGAGTGAGTCTAAGTCATCTTAATTTGTTGCCTACAAAACTGGGATGTTTGTAGTGGTGGTGTTCAGAAGAATTTTCAAGAGATGTAGGATATATTTTCGCCCTTTTATTTATGTTTTAATTACCTTTGAAGGGTACATGCTTTTGTTATTAACCTGTTATGTTGACATTTTTCTTATATTTGGACTGTTCTGCAAGAACACAGACGTGGGTATTCTTTAAAACATATACTTCATTTTTCTTACTTGCCAAAGATGTTCTTTTTTTTTTTCACCAATTTGAATCCTTGTACCCAGTGACTACAGGACATTATTTTCTAGAATCAAGCCACAGCATACTTTTATTTCTCAAAATGAGGGAACCAGCAGACATCTCAGTACCTTCACCAACGGGCAGAGGGTACCGCTTGGCTGTAATTCATGTTAAGCAGCCATGGAACCATAGAAGGTCAGAGCTGGAAGGCATCTTAGCAATCACGTCAGCCCCTTTGGTTTTCATTCATTCACTAAATGGTATGGTGCCTACTGTATGCCAAGTGCCTATTTGTGCCAAGTACCACACTAAGCAGTTTTCAAACTTTTTAAATCTGAGGAACCTTGTCTTAAAGTAATCAGAACCTGTTTATAAAATACAAGCTCAGAGCTGTGCTGATTAAAGTGGGGAAGAGGTCCCCCCAAAGCCTTTTGGCAACTGCCACCCTTTCTTTGGCAGTCAGTTAGAGGACTCCATGTTACAGGACTCCATGGAGCACACTTGAAAACCTCTGATAGGACCCAGGTCTCTTATCCTACAGTAGAGGAAACTGAGATCCAAAACACAGAAGTGCCTTGCCCGGGGTAACACAACTAATTAAATTGTCCTGACTCCCCACTCTTTCCATTGTGGCCATTATAGTGGAAAGTACTTTCTTAGCAGGAGAGAATTAAGAGGTGTTTCCTTCCCCCAGTTGTTCAGTAGGTACAGGGCTGTAGTTGGTGGCAGGATGGTAAGGAGTGAATAGATCCAGCTGTGTGGGATCAGTGCTTAAAGCAGGCGTGGAATATGTCATCAGTCCTAAAAGCCATTCCCTGTGGAATAGTGTTAAAGGCAAGGTGAGAGGAGACAAGAGAACCTGCTTACTTGAGTCTAGGATAAGAGGAGGTGTATATAGGATTGGGACTGGGAGAGAGGAAAGGGATGTGAACTAATGGGTCAGGATGGTAACAGAAAGTTTAGTTCTTAATTCTGCTGAAGTTCAGATCAGCTAAATGAAATTAACTTTAGGTTCCTCTAGGAATTATGCCCTTTAACATATGTTGTCCCCATATTATGTTACTTTGGTCACTGGGGCCCTGGACTGTGGACTGTGCATTTATTTTGGTTCCCTTTATGGCTTATGGCTTTGAGGATGAATGAATGTGTGAATCAGCCCAGCCTCTCAATTATGAGTGTTGATCAGAAAAGCTGTTTCCATCATCTAAAAGCCAGGCTGTGAGGGGTTGCTCCGCAGAGTGGTTTCCATTCCCACCTCTGCTTCTCTGAATGGAAATCGGAACGTGGAAACACTGTTCGTTGTTTTGGCTGCAACTCACCGTAATGAGACTCTTGTTCTGATTGTGTCCTGTTGCTTGATAGGAAAGTTCAAATGGGCATCTACCACCTCAGTTTATGTCAGAAGTTAAGAGTATATCCATGTTTTCTTCTGTTAGAGCATTAACAGAAACATTGAATCAAAACTTTCCCACTGGTATCTCTGCCCCTTTTATGTCAGGCCAAAGGTGGACATCATGGACTGAGCTGCAG